TGAGCTCTGCAGATAGCAATTGAAATGTTGCTACTTCATTAGTTTTAAAGTGGCCATGAAATATGTCTTGGGAAAAAATGGTGGCTAAAACCGTGAATATATTTATTTTATTCTAATTGAAATCTTTTTTCAAGGACCAATGTAAAGATTTTTACTTACTTTTAAGTGGTAAGTCATAACAGCAAAATATGAAAAAGAAAACAAATTGAGAATCATAATGATAAATGTGAATGAAAAAATGAAAAATACGGAAGTTGTGTAATATTTTTCCAGTCTACATGATTTTTGAAATTTCTTTGGAAGGGTATTTTGAAAGGTCCAAATGCAAGACATGACAATGACTATGTTATTGCCTTTCTTTATCAAAATATCCTTTTTAGTGCCTAATTTTTACTTAACAGAAAATATTTTCTTGTATCAGATATGTTATTCTTAAATTACTTTAATGCAAAATATGGTGTAATGTTAATGCATGCTATAAATTCCTAGTACATATTTAAATATATCTTCCAAATATATACTCTTTCGCATATAGGAACAACTAACATTATATTGACTAACTGCTAATGCTTACAATAACCCAGTGTATGCCTAATGCTAATGATAACCCAGTAGCACCACTAATGTCTAAATTGCAGTCTCAAAAACCCCTGTCCCACTAGAAGGAAGCAAGGCCCCTTAGCGAAAGGGCCAAGTTTAGGTCTGGAATAGGAAATTTACAAAATGAGCCTGGGACATCTTGCGCCAAAATGCAAGGATATTATCAAAGAATATTGGGATCATCTCAAAAAGCTACAGTATTCAATGACTGGAGCATTAAAAAAAAAAAAACAATGATTACAATACATTAAAACAGAAGGTAAATTTAACGCTGCAATTCAATAAAAAGTTGACAATTATCCAAAAAACAAATGTCTGGAATGAACGAACAGGCAATTTACAAAACAGGAAACATAAAAGGGGATACAAATATTAAAATACATTCAATCTCCATAATAATCAGGGAAAAACAAATTAAAAATATTAAGACACCATTTTTTTGCCCATCAGATTGGCAAATCTTCTAAAGTTTGATTATATCAAGTAGTGACAATAGAGGAGAAAAACAGGAAATGTTGGAAGTTCAAACTGGTAAGGTTTTTTGTTTTTGTTTTTGTTTTTGTTTTTTTTTTGACTGGGCAATTTGGCAGTAACAATGTTCATTTTAAATGTGCATACTCTCTGGCCCAACAATTCTACTTTCCTATACTTAACCTTAAAGAAAGCCTTGCACATACTTTTAAGGAGGCATCTGTAATGGTGACTGGCTACACTGTTTTTAATTATGAAAAAGTTACATAAATTTTATCAATGGGGGATTGGATGTGTATGAGTCAGTTCAAAAGAATAACTTGGGGATATGTTCAAACTATACTGGCAAGTTAAAAAAAAAGTCAGAGTGAAAAATATACCGTGATGTTATATATATTTAAAGACCCACAAAATTATTTCATTCCATATGTCATATATATATGGAGATTCATGCTAGAGGGAAACAGGATGACCTTTTCCTTTAACTGTATTTTTTATACTATAAACACAACAAAGTATTCTTTATTTTATAATTTTTGAATGTTAGGCAAATAATCTTTCAAAAAATCCTCCAAAGTGGTTGTTTATGGCCCGAGTTTACAGATGAGGAAACGGCTCAAGAAATAATAGCTGACTTGTCCAAGGTTAAACAATAGAAGTAAAAAATCTGGCTGATCTTGGGCCTTTTATGCAGATGCTTTTCTCTAGATCATAAGTCAAAATGACCTTGTATTTTGTACTGGTCAAAACTTCTCTAAGGAGATATCTAGGTTGGAAACCGAAATGTGGGAGCAATAAGTGTTTGCCAATTGATACCATGGAAGTACACTGAGGAGATTGTGGATTGTGTAGGCTCAGAACAGAATCCTGAGAAGCAGCAACATTAAATGGATGAACACAGTTAAGGAACCCTGTAAGAAAGTCAAAGAAGAAATTGCTACACAATCAGAAGGAGAGGGTGAAGAACTCAAGCACAGAGAGCACTTTTACAAGAAGGAAGCGGTCACCAGGGGCATATGCTGCAAAGAAGTCAAGAGAGCTTTGAAGTATCATTTGGATTTGGTAACATAGGCATTTGGTGACTTCGGCAAGAGAGTCTCAGTGAATAGGAGAAGCAGAAACCAGAATGCAGAGGGATGAAGCATGAAGAAGACAGGAGAATGTAATGGTATGGTAGGTACTCAAAAATTTAAACATAGAATCATGATATGATCCAGCAATAAAGAATACTTGAGTCCAGCAATTTCTATTTATTGGTTTTATACCCAAAAAGAATATACCCCAAAGAATTGAAAGCAGAGACTCAAACAGATTATTTGCATACCCATGTTCTTAGCGGGATTATTCACAATAGCCAAAGGTAGAAGCAAACACAAATGTCCATCCAAGAATGAATAAATAAATAATATGTGGCACATACATATAATGGAATATTATTCAGCCTGAAAAGGAAGAAGATTCTCAACACATGCTGTGACCTGGGATGCACCTAAGTAAAATAAGCCAGCTACGAGGACGGATGTTCTATGATTCTACTTGTATGAGGTCCTGAGAGAAGTCAAAATCATAGAGACAAAGGAGAAAAAGTGACTGCCAGGGACTGGATGGGGCTGGGAGGAGACGAGGAATGGGAAGTTATTATTATTAATGAGTATAAAGTTTCAGTTTGGGAGGATGAAAAGATCTAGAGATGGGTGGTGGTGATGGTTGTACAATAATGTGCATATACGTAATGTCTCTGGACTATATACATAAAATGATAAAATTGTCAATTTTATTTTATATATATTCTAGTGCACACCCACAAACACGTGTGCACATGTGTGTGCACGTGCACACACACACACACACACACACACACCATCTATGAGGACCTTAAGGAAGTCAGTGAAGACAACTTTTTCAAACTGGAAAGTCTAAGACGGAGGACCCTTGAGCATATTCACCAGCCTGGAAAGGATCCTTGGAGAAACGGAGATACACATCCACCATCCAGGTGAAAGGGACACAAATACTGAGCTAGCACATTAAAACCATCTACTGATACCCAGCACTACGCTTTTGGTAGTGAGCCTGGGTCTTTGACGTGCAGATGGACCTCGTGTTTTACAACAAAAGTCAAATATGGTCATATTTAAAATTTTTCAAGACACATAGAATCTAAGCGATGTTAATCACATTAATAACATTTTCTTCAAGGATTTTCTCGTAAGTATCTAGTGAAGAATTCCAATCCAATTTTACACTGATGATGCTCTGGTGTTTTGCTGTTTGGTGGCAGTATTTTTTGTTCATTTATTTTTCCTTCCTGCCAATTCACATCACGTAGGAGTTTAGGTGAAAGGGAAAAATGTTTCCATTTTTCATTATCTCCTAATTGCTCTTTATTGCCCCTTTGAAAATATGGTTAAGTAAAAAGCAGAGTGTGATACCCTGGGAGCATGATAGTTCCAAAGTCCAGAAAGTGGTTCTTGCAGTGTGTGGAGGTTTGCATAATTACTGTTATTCTTGCAACCCACTCCGCACCCCCCTTCCCTTCCCCAACAGCAAGGGAGGGTGAGAGGGACTGCCACATACAAATTGCCACTGTTAATCTGCTTCTGCTATTCAGTAGCCTGGGAGAAGTATATATATGAGTAGTTCCTTCTATTTGAGGTTGGCAATAGTGTTAGCTTTGATCAACTGTTTTTGTGTCCTTTTTCTACCATGTCCCTACCGTCCCATAAATATTTTCAATTAGTGCTCCAGCCTGTTAGAAACTTAACCAGTTATGTTCAGCAGTGCAGGACCTGCACCTGTTTTTTATTCTTGTGGCTGAAGTTGTGAGAGACCATAGCTTATGGATAAGCAACAGTTTCAGTTTTGCAATGCTTTATCTATATGTAACAGGCAGCTATTCATGAGAAAGGAAGTTTAAGGCTTGTAGGTAAAAAACCACTACCCACGTTCCAGGAAAATGCCCGTTTACTGAAGCTTTTTTTTTTTTCTTTTTACAATATGTCTATAGTCAGATTAGCATTTAGGTCATACTCCAAAGAGTTTAAATTAATTAGTCTTATAAAAGCAAGTTTATTCCTCATGTATCAGCTTGACAGTTTTTGTCTGCATAGAGCGGTATTTTGTTTTTCTATGATTATCTTTTGGCTACAGAGGAGATGTTTCCTTATGTAAATGAGCATTGCATAATCAAGTATAGATTTCAATAACTTAACTTTCCGAAAAGTTGCTTACATATATAAATTTGTGTATACGTTAATTATATATATATATATATACACACAAATTATAGCCTGTCACCATGATACTAAATGTAAGGTTTGTGAAGACTTTTCTACTCTCCATAGAATTTATAAAGCAAAATGACTCTGATGTTTCACAACTTCCTCTTTTGGTAGAGTGTCCTTTTGCAGAGAAAAAAAAATTGACTAAAGAGAGCTGAGTGGAGTCAGAGCCCTTCGAGATGCTGGTTAACTCAACTATTTAAGCAGCTTGACAAGCAACTGAAAATAACACATTGCGGTAAGAAGAAAGTGTTCACTTGCTATTTTTCATTTTATTATTTGGATTCCTGTTTGTGGAACAACAATTTAAATGTTGGTTGGATTATAAAATAGATTAGATAAATCTGATAATTTTAAGTACTCAATATTTTAAATGAAGAGGTTTACTAAGTTTACTGTTTCAACTTCACATACAACCTTTTAAAAAAAGCTGGGAAATTTTAAAGTTCTTATTGATCTCCAAATTATTTTAACTGAAAAGTAAAAAAAAAAACTCTCTTTTTTTCATAGTTTTGAACACAGTTTAGTGCTGAAAGAACTTTTGTCTTAATATAAATTTTGAAAACTTTTTTCTTCCCCTTGCTCCAGTAAATTCCTAACATGTATAAGTTATCCTACCTACATTTGTTTGTTAATTTTGCATATTACTAGTTGGACATATTCTGGAAAAAAGATATTCTTACGCTTGTTACTACCTACTGTGAAAATATATAATATTATTTAAAGTGTTACATTTCAGTATTATTTTTCATATCATCACATTGTGATGATACTTAAAGACTTTCGAAAAAGCAATTTGTAGTGTAGATAGTAGTATTTAAAAATGTAAATAAGGTAAGTAAATCAAATTTTAGAAATTTATGTTTGTTTTAAGATTAATTTGCATTGTAATGCCCAAAACTGGAGCAAGAACTATAAGACCATTTGGATTCATAATTGGGGACCAAACTAAGCTGAAACTAATTTCATTAGGCAACTCTAAAGTAATCTAAATGCAGCAGAATTATTTTTATTTGTGCCAAGCTAGAGTAATGTATATACATATTAACTATTTAAAAGAATTGTATTTCTCATACAGCAATTTTTAAATCTTTTTTAAGCAAATAATATATCTGAATGCTTACTTAATTTGGTTTGTTTTTAATTAGAATAATCACATGGCTTCTGAAAAAGAAAGTCTGCATTGTTCCATAAATTAATGGACTTAATTTTAATCAATTTGGTTAAACAATGCCGTCACACTGGTTCTATTACATTAACTAGAAAATAGGGTGTTTTTAAAAAAATTATTTTCATGCAATGTGCTGTGACGGGAGTAGTTGTCTTTGGTTACAGAGAGAAGAAAAACAGATTATTAGTGTTATAAATTCAGGCAATGAACCGTAGACTCGAGTTTAACATTCTTAACTAGATCAAAATTTTAAAATTAAGTTGATAGTTGTGACGAATCCATTAAAATTTTGTATACTCATCTGTATGTATCACACGCTAATTAAACATACCAGAACTTGATTATTGTTCTTTGCAACAACACCACTTATAATGTCCCTCTCTTTAATAAAAAAGATGGAAGTATTTTGAAATGTCCAGAATTTTAAGGATGAGATATTTTGATATCATAAACTATCAAGTGCTGTGTGTTTGTCATATATAGTGTGGTATTACACGGAATAACTGATAACAACCAAGAAAAACATAGCCCAAGGAAATTACAATCTAAATTGATCAACACTGTAATTCAGAATGCCAATGAAGGCCAAAGAAGTAGAGAAAATCCTATCTTGCTGGCAAGATGGATGTGTTGTAGTTGTGGTGGTTGTGACTGTCGTGAACTATTAAAGTCTCTGAATGAACAGCCTAGTTCTAGATTATGGAAAATAAATTTAGAATTTGTTCTATGACAAAGTCATATTTACAGAAAAAAATTAGTGCTATCTGGTTGGGTTTCCTTGAGTCATGCGGATTGTTAAAGGGGGCGATCTCACCATTACTGGGAGAATAGCAAGCTGCATGGCTTATGCTTTTCTTTCACATAGTGTAATAAGAAAAAGCCTTTAGAATCCACCCCCAAATCCAAATTTTTTGAAGTGAAATTAGATATAATACTGTAAATAATTTATTACTGGCATACATAAATATTTACTTTTGAACTATAGATGTATATTTTACTGTTTCATTAAGATTACATTCATGTGACTCTAAGACATAAATTTTCATTGACTAATATAAGTTGAAACTGGGTGACTGCTGTATAGCATTGTGAAATTTTCTGTCTTGATAAGACATGGTTGACTCTATGATGTGTGTGTGATCTTACTGGGCATCCATCAGATTGTTGAAATCCAGGGTTGAGCCAACGAATCTCACAGTTTAGTGGGTGTCTGCCCCCTCCTCCACCGTGTGAACTTTCTAAAGCCGCCCACCTGTGCAAGAGAATGACCTGCTTCTAGAGGGCTCTATCCCACCTTGGCAAATATATTACCTCTCCAATAATAATTTCACTTTGAAACAATGATGCTATTTGTTCTTAACATAAATAACTGGACTTCCAAAACAACTTTTCAAACATTGAAACACTTGTTTGTTTGGTTTCCCCTTCTTTCGGCCATTTTCTCATTTGCAAAAGTAGATGAGAGTTTGTTGCCCGAAAGAAAGATTGTGGTTTGGGTGCAGACTAAGAGGGATGGTGTGTTTTGAATTCAGAAACAAAAATCCTCTGAATCTGGATAATGTGTCCCTTCCAACCTTTTAAATGCAAATTTGTGTCCACTTGCAAACATTGATTTTCTATTTATTTTTAGTGGACATGACTTCCAAATAAGTGCCACATGTAACATATTCATATTAATTCTATTAATAAAAATATGTGTTCAATGGGAAAATTATTGTGTTCACAAAAATATGTACTTTGGAAGTACATGTGCTCTCTAAGAGAGATCATTTATCTCATTTTCATACAGGAAATAATTTCTGCAAATTTAAAGAATAAAGGCAAGTTCTTTTACATTTCTGAATATTTCCATTTAAGAAGATACATTTTATGCAGTGTAATGTACACATCTGTACCCTAGAAAATAAAAACACTGTTTAATTTTGAAATCTTTAAAATGTAAATTATTTGCTGTTTGAGAATTGTTGTTTCCGATACTTCCCTAACATCATTGATATTGTTATTATTTTATACGAACTAAAATTAGACACTAATAGATTTGATGTTTTCTAAATACTTTCCCACTTTGTCTTTTCATTATTTTATATGTATACAAAAATGGGTCTTAATTTTTCAGTATTACTACGGAAAATCGCAAATTTGTAGTTTTATATCCAAATTGAAAGGAAAATGGCATTAACATCATTAAATCATATTGGAACCATGGAAAGTAAATCAGAAATGAAGTTAGCCTACTGGTTTTACTCCACAAGCTAGTATAAAACGTCACAGCTCATTATTATTCTATTTTACAGATATCTCATTGTAAGTTCTCAGTTTTTTCAATATTTGGTGGTTATCACAGTATCAAAATTCTTTTCACTTTGGAAACAAACACAAATAGTAATATGATCGTGAAAAACATCACCACAGTTCTGATTCTGAAAAAAACAAAATTAGCAGCATTTTTCTTTAATCATAACCCAGTTTGATTTATTTTCACTTTGCATAAGAAAAAAAATCGAAGCAGAATACTTATTCGCTTTTCCTGTGTTGGTGAACAGATCTGAATTAGAGAAGAGGCAGGAACATTCTCAAGGCAATTAGGCTGCCTTCTGAGTAAAAATCGTATTTAATGCCATTGGAGTTTCTTAAATGCTCACTAGAAATGCTTATTATACTTCATCTACTTAAATTTTTTTATTAAGAAATAATTTCAAGCTTAAAAGAATTGCAAAAATAAAAATAGTGTAATGAATACCTATATGCCCTTACCCAGATTTACCTAATCTTCATATTTTACTCTATTTGCTTTATGATTTGCTCTTATTCTTTCTCTATCTATATCTTTGTCTCCATTTTTTTCTTTCTGAACCGCTTGAGGGTAAGTTATAAAAGAACATGACCCTTGACTTCAGCTTGTACTTGCTAAAAATAGAGGTAGTCTCTTATGTAATCGTTACAATATCTACTTCATAAATTTACATCGATACAATATTTTTATCTAATATTTGCCCATATTCCAATTTTGCTATTTATCTAATAATACCCTTTATAATATTTTCCCCTCCAGTAAAGGATCCAGTTTAGAGTCATGTGTTACATTTAGTTGCAATGTCTCTTTAGCCTCCATTAATCTGGAACATTTCCACATCATTTCTTTATCTTTTATAAGATTGAAAACCTTAAAATCTATCCACCAACTCTTCTTCTTTTCTTTTTAACAGAGTGTTCCCCATTTGTATTTGTCTGACATTTCCTCATGATGAGATTATGGTCATGCATTTTTTGTTAGAATACTGCAAAGGTGATGTCTCCCCTTATGCTATCGGACCTAGAGCCACACGATGCTCATCTATGCCCCATTGGTAATGCTAATTTAGGTTGCCATGTCAAAGTGTTGCCTCATTTCTCCCTTTTATAATGACAACTCCTCATGAAAAATTTCCCTTTGGGTTTACTATTAATTGATGTTCTCATCTGATGCAGTCTTTACTGTAATGCATCATAGTTATAAAATCATGATTCTCCAGCTCCAGCACTCTCTGCGTATTTCAGTCAGACTTTTGCATTCTAAAGTAAGAAAAAGAACTCCCTTCTCTCCTGTATTTAATTACTAATTTATATATCTGTTACTGGTATAAAGTCACAAATTTCTGTCTTTCCAGTGGTTTATAATTCCGTGCTGCCTTAATTATTATGGTGCTCAAATTGTCAAATACCTGTTTGAGTTATTGGTTAAACTTTTATATTTATATTTATAACTTCCTATTTCAATTCTGTTCAATCTACATTTAGTCTGAAGTTAATTATTTTCCTGGACATTCCAAAAGGTGGCAATGTCAGAAAAGAAAGTAGGTTATCGGGAGGTATTTGGTCAACCTTATTAATTTATTATTCCAGAGTGGATTTTTAAAAGTTAAATGTGCATGTATCATCACATCTACAGAAAAATAGATAAGAAGCAACCATGAATATGTGTAGTCCACAAGCATTGGAAAAATTCTCACCCTTTCTATAAGTGATTCTAGATTCCTGCCCCTAGCACTCCCCCATATTCTACTCTAGTACTCATAATGATGAATGCATCCTGATATTTGAGGTAGGAAGAGAAAGTGGGTCAGTGTCAAGATTCATTTTCAGTTTCCATTCTGTCACTTACTGACTGTGAATCTTGGATGGTTACTTTTCTCTTTTCTCTCCAGATATCTAGCTCCATAACTGTAAGTTAAAAAAATATACCTCCTTAACTTTTTGCAAACTTTTGTACTCATACCTTAAAGTGATTATTAAACCTCAGATGTTAACAGTAACTTAAAGTTAACATGTCCAAAAGAAAGCCCCTCATTGCCCACCCTTCTCTCTGCTCCATGCCCAATCTTCTTTGGTTAGTAAATGATACCACCTTATACTCAGTTATCCAGGTCAAAAGCATCACTAGTTTCTTTCTTTCCCTCACCTACATCCTATTTATCGGCAAGCCTGTCAGTTCTATTTCCAAAATACATCCCAACATTGACCAGGTTCATCCTTTCCACCATCTTGAGCTCAGTGTAAGACACTATCATCTCTGTTCTGGACATCTCCGTTCTTCTTGTAGTCTATTAAGAAATCCCTCTTTTT